GGGAATACAAAGTAGCGCCTTCCTTTCAGACTAACCAGGCTCTGCAGAGAACATTCCAGTAATTAATATGGCTTCACTCCAGGGTGGCCAGAGAGAACCTGAAAAACGTGCAAAATTAATCTGAGCAGAGTAACACACTGAATTACGTCAACACTCTCCGGACAGACAGACGTCATTTATACGCAAAGTCACAGAAGCCGAGGACCGGCGTACAGTGCATACATGGCAGCAATGGATCAAATGTACAGCAAATGTTTCATGTGGACACAACTGAATGCACTTTACCTCTCTGCCCTCTATTGACGGATACACTATAATGCCAAAAGTATTGGCCCTGCCCTCCACATCATGTGATTCAGGTGTTCCCCCCTCCCAATCATGTGATTCCCAATCCCCTCCCATCATGTGATTCAGGTGTTCCAATCCCCTCCCAATCATGTGATTCGGGTGTTCCAATCCCCTCCCAATCATGTGATTCAGTGATTCGGGGGTGTTCCAATCCCCTCCCAATCATTTGATTCGGGTGTTCCAATCCCCTCCCAGTCATGTGATTCAGGAGTTCCAATCCCCTCCATATCATGTGATTCAGGTGTTCCAATCCCCTCCCAATCAATTCGGGTGTTCCAATCCCCTCCCAATCATTTGATTCGGGTGTTCCAATCCCCTCCCAGTCATGTGATTCAGGAGTTCCAATCCCCTCCATATCATGTGATTCAGGTGTTCCAATCCCCTCCATATCATGTGATTCAGGTGTTCCAATCCCCTCCCAATCATGTGATTCAGGTGTTCCAATCCCCTCCCAATCATGGGATTCAGGTGTTCCAATCCCCTCCATATCATGTGATTCAGGAGCTCCAATCCCCTCCATGGACACAGGTGTATACAATCAATCCCCTAGGCATGCAGACGGCTTCTACAAACATTGGTGAAAGAATGGGTCGCTCTCAGGAGCTCAGTGACTCCAAGCGTGGTCCCGTGATAGGTTGTCACCTGGGCAATAAGTCCATCCGTGACATTTCCTGGCTACTAAATATTCCACGCTCAACTGTTAGTGGGATTATAACAAAGTGGAAGCCACTGGGAACAACAGCCACTCAGCCACCAAGTGGTAGGCCACGTCACATGACAGGGCGGGTCAGCGCATGCTGAAGCGCACAGTGCGCAGAAGTCGCCAACTGTCTGCAGAGTCAATAGCTAAAGACCTCCAAACTTGGTGTGGCCTTCAGATGAGTCCAACAACAGTGTGTAGAGAGGTTCATGGAATGGGTTTCCATGGCCGAGCAGCAGCTGCATCCAAGCCTTCCATCACCAAGTGCAATGCAAAGCGTTGGATGTCGTGGTGTAAAGCATGCCGCCACTGGACTCTAGAGCATGGAGACGTGTTCTCTGGAGTGGACCAATCACGCTTCTCTGTCTGGCAATCCGATGGACATGTCTGGGTTTGGCTTTTGCCAGGAGAACGTTACTTGCCTGACTGCATTGAGCCAAGTGTAAAGTTTGGTGGAGGGGGGATTATGGTGTGGGGTTGTTTTTCAGGGGTTGGACTTGGCCCCCTAGTTCCACTGAAGGGAACTCTTAACCCTTTGGCAACATTTTGGACAATTTCATGCTCCCAACTTTGTGGGAGGAGTTTGGGGATGGCCCCTTCCTGTTCCAACATGACTGCACCCCAGTGCACAAAGCAAGGTCCATAAAGACATGGAGGAGCCAGTTTGGGGTGGAGGAACATGACTGTCCTGCACAGAGTCCTGACCTCAACCCCATAGAACACCTTTGGGATGAATTAGAGCGGAGACTGTGAGCCAGGCCTCCTCCCCCGACATCAGTGCCTGACCTGACAAATGTGCTTCTGGAAGAATGGTCCAACCTTCCCATAGACACCCTCCTAAACCTTGTGGACGGCCTTCCCAGAAGAGTTGAAGCTGTTATAGCTGCAAAGGGCGGGGCCAACTCAATATTGAACCCTACGGACTAAGACTGGGGGGCCATTAAAGGTCATGTGTGTGGAAAGGGCGGGGCCAACTCAATATTGAACCCTACGGACTTAGACTGGGGGGCCATTAAAAAGGTCATGTGTGTGGAAAGGGTGGGGACAACTCAATATTGAACCCTACGGACTAAGACTGGGGGGCCATTAAAGGTCATGTGTGTGGAAAGGGTGGGGACAACTCAATATTGAACCCTAGGGACTAAGACTGGGGGGGCCATTAAAGGTCATGTGTGTGGAAAGGGCGGGGCCAACTCAATATTGAACCCTACGGACTAAGACTGGGGGGCCATTAAAGGTCATGTGTGTGGAAAGGCCGGCCGACCAATACTTTTGGCAATATAGTGTACATGTCATTGCATGAGTGGCCCTCTTCTGAACTGCCTAGAACATCAGTGCAATAAATTAGACCTAACATCAAATATATGTTTATGGTAAATACAGAAATGTGTCAGGGTAACACTTCCAGGTATTTTTATCTCTCTGAACCAGAAACAAAAAAAAAACCCCAGTTCCCATAATGCAAGAGGGGTTTTCTCTACTCTGTGTAATCTGAGCTGTCAATTAGCACGATGCTGTGTTTGTTTGTGACATTCTGCAAATGTATCTATATAGATGTATTTACCAAATGTGTGATACATATGTGACAACATAGAGTACAAAACAATTCTATGACAATAGAAAATAGAAACAATTCTATGAAGACAGAAAATAGAAACAATTCTATGAAGACAGAAAATAATAGATCGCCTTTTTGCAAATATGATGCTCAGCAACCCATGGGGACCAATCAGATTTCACATTTCATTGGCTTAGAGCAGAAATACTTGTAATCAGGATCAAGTGGGGAGGGAGGAGCTGAAAAATTGGGATGGTGACCATTTGTTGGTCTTTGGTAGGGTAGAAGGAGTGACTGGTGTCCAAAAAACTGCAACTTTGATGTATAATACATGTGAAGTTCATTAAAAGTTTAAACATGTAAATCAATCTATTGCGTTTTGAGGGAATGGACCCCCCCCCCCCCCCCCCCCCCCCCTTCTTCAGGGCTGTTGCTGCATTCTGTTGGATAGGAATGGTTCCCAGGAGGATGGAGCTTAGAGCTAGGAGGATGGAGCTGAGAGTTAGAAGGATGGAGCTGAGAATCAGGAGGATGGAACTGAGAGTCAGGGGGATGGAGATGAGATGCAGGGGTATGGAGCTTAGAGTCAGGAGGATGGAGCTGAGAGTCAAGAGGATGTAGTTGAGAGTTAGGAGGATAAGGCTGAGAGTTGGGAGGATGATGCTGAGAAGCAGGAGGATGGAGCTTAGCGTCAGGAGGCTGGAGCTTAGCGTCAGGAGGATGGAACTGAGAGTCAGGAGGATGGAGCTGAGAGTCAGGAGGATGGAGCTTAGAGTCAAGAGATTGGAGCTGAGAGTCAGGAGGATGAAGTTTAGAGTCAGGAGGATGGAGCTTAGAGTCAGGAGGATGGAGCTGAGAGTCAGGAGGTTGGAGCTGAGAGTCCAGGAAGATGGAGCTGAGAGTCAGGAGGATGGAGCTGAGAGTCAGTAGGATGGAGCTGAGAGTCAGGAGGATGGAGCTTAGAGTCAGAAGGATGGAGCTTAGGGTCAGGGGGATGGAGATGAGAGGCAGAAGTATGGAGCTTAGAGTCAGGAGGATGGAGCTGAGAGTCAGGAGGTTGGAGCTGAGAGTCAGGAGGATGGAGCTTAGAGTCAGGAGGATGGAGCTTAGAGTCAGGGGGATGGAGATGAGAGGCAGAAGTATGGAGCTTAGAGTCAGAGGATGGAGCTGAAAGTCAGCAGGTTGGAGCTGAAAGTCCAGGGGTTGGAGCTGAGAGTCCAGGAGGATGGAGCTGAGAGTCAGGAGGATGGAGCTGAGAGTCAGTAGGATGGAGCTGAGAGTCAGGAGGATGGAGATCAGGGTCAGAAGGTTGGAGCTGAGAGTCCAGTAGGATGGAGCTGAGAGTCAGTAGGATGGAGCTGAGAGTCAGTAGGATGGAGTTGAAAGTCAGGAGGATGGTGCTCAGGGTCAGGAGGATGGAGCTGAGAGTCAGGAGGATGGAGCTGAGAGTCAGGAGGTTGGAGATTAGAGTCAAGAGGATGGAGCTTAGGGTCAGGAGGATGGAGCTGAGAGTCAGGAGGATGGAGTTTAGGGTCAAGAGGATGGAGTTTAGGGTCAGGAGGATGGAGCTGAGAGTCAGGAGGATTGAGCTGAGAGTCAGGAGGATGGAGCTGAGAGTCAGGAGGATGGAGCTCAGAGGCAGGAAAATGAAACTAAGAGTAAGGATGCTGGAGATGAAATTTAGGATGAACTGAGTGCTGGCAGGAGGTAAATGAAGGTCAAAAGGTGAGACTTGGGAGAAGGAAGCTAAGAGTTTAGAAGGGGAGGTTTTGAAGGGAACTATGAGTCAGGTAAAGGTGGGGTGCGGGGGGGGGGGGGGGGGGTAATGAAAAAATAATTCTTCTCTCTTTCAGGGACTTCCCTGTGTCCAATGATCCACCCAGGGAGGAACTGCTGTCATTTAGCACCACCACCAACTATTTCCCAGCACCTAATCGTACAGCCATCTCTTATTCTTCTGTAGGACAGACACTTCAGAGTGTGTTGATTTTCTATGTGCTGCCAATGGGTTTTATTTGCACCATTTGACAGATAGAAAACTACTAGAGGGAGAAACTACAAATCTAGAAAATATGCAATAACAAGCATGTAAACATATCAACTCAACAAAACAAATTACTTTCAAGTAAACTCTACAATAACAAAGCACTCTGAAAAACGACAGACATTTCCTTGAAGACCTCAAAACAGGGCTTCAGCAGAGAATAATGTCATTGCAGCTTATTTACTAAATTGTAACAAATTATCTGGGAATCGAATGATTGATATGTTTTATTTATTGTCAGGCCGACTAATGCTCCCATCTGGGTCTATTTTGAGGTACAGAATATTGAAAGAAACTTCCAAACGTTGTGGGTTACAGCTGGCATGGCATGGCTGTAGGATCTCCCCTACCTTTCCAGAGGTCTTGATCCCTTTGGCAAGAGAGGCGTAGACGATCACCCAAGCCAGAAACAGGCTAAACACGAGGGGCCACCGGATTTCACCAGGAAATTCAATACCGGCCGAAATCTTCAGCATATTGTACCTGAAATAATAAACATTCATTTGCAAAACTCAAGACACCAGAAATCATTCCACTCCTGAATATCCAAAGTTGACGTTTAATCTGCGTATATTTTGCCTGCACTGGTTGGAGCTTAGAGTCAGGAGGATGGAGCTTGGATTTAGGAGGATGGAGCTTAGGGTCAAGAGATGGAGCTGAGAATCAGATGGAGCTTAGAGTCAGGAGAATGGAGCTTAGGGGAAGATCAAGAGGATGTCAGGAGCTGGAGCTAGAGGAAGATGGAGGAGAGTCAGAAGATGGAGCTTCAGGAGGTCAGAGAGGATGATGAGTGCTGAGAGTCAGGAGGATGGACCTGAGAGTCAGGAGAAGCTGAGCTTAGAGGGTCAGGAGGAGCTGAGAATCAGCTGGAGAGCTCAGGAAGATTAAGCTGAGAGTCAGGAGCTGAGAGTCAGGAAGCTTAGGTCAGCTGAGCGTTTAGAGTCAGGGATGGAGCTGCTGAGAGTCAAGGAGGTTGGAGCTTAGAGTCAGGAGGATGGAGCTGAGAGTTAGGAGGATGGAGCTGAGAATCAGGAGGATGGAGCTTAGAGTCAGGAAGATGGAGCTGAGAGTCAGGAGGATGGAGCTGAGAGTCAGGAGGTTGGAGCTGAGAGTTAGGAGGTTGGAGCTTAGGGTTAGGAGGATGGAGCTTAGGGTCAAGAGGATGGAGCTTAGGGTCAAGAGGATGGAGGTTAGAGTTGGGAGGATGAAGCTTAGAGTCAGGAGATCAGGAGAGTCAGGAGATTGGGGCTGAGAGTCAGGAGGTTGGAGCTTAGAATCAGGAGGATGGTGCTGAAAGTCAGGAGGATGGAGCTTAGAGTCAGAGTCAGGATGGAGCTGAGAGTCAGGAGGATGGAGCTGAGAGTCGGGTGAGCTTAGAGTCATGAAGCTTAGAGTCAGGAGATCAGGTCAAGAGGAGAGTCAGGAGGATGGAGCTGAGAGTCAGGGGATTGGATGGAGCTGAGAGTCAGGAGATTGGAGCTGAGAGTCAGGAGGATGGAGCTTAGAGTCAGAAGGATGGAGCTGAGAGTCAGGAGGATGGTGCTGAGCGTGAGGAGGATGGAGGATGGGAGGATTAAGTTCAGGAGTGGGGATGAAGCTAAGATTCAGAGATCAGGAGTGTAAGGTCAGGATGGAGCTGAGAGTTAAGAGGATGGAGCTGAGAGTCAGAAGGATGGAGCTCCTGAATATTCAAAGTTGACGTTTAATCTGCTTATATTTTACATTTTTTAAATAAAACCCGTCTGTTTTCATTACATACCCTCATCTAGACCCATCAGTGGCATCACTGGATCTCTGTGCTTCTCTATGCAATGCATGCAGATTGTGGCTGGTGGGAGGGACCAGTTGGGTGCATCTGAAAACATCACAGCACCCTCCCTGAGCACTCTTCTAAAGAGCCCTCCGTCTTGATGCAAGATTGGTAGGAGTTCTAAAAATATTGATGGGTGGATGCCAGTTTTGGAGGAGTGGGCTATATTTTCAATGCCAACTGCCTTAGGAAAACGCTCACAAGTAATGCTGAGCCTCCATGATTGAAAGACCTGAAATCCAATGAATGAAAGGGGCGGGTCAGGGACAGTCAGGCTGGATGGGGGGGGAGCTTGATGAGGTCAGATGTCTTCCAGCCAGGAAAAGAGGCGGAGCCCTGAGGGTCACACAATAGGTATCAAAGGTCAAAGGTTGGGCACCAGTAGGGCCGCAACTAGGGGGGTGCTGGGCTGTGTCCACCCAGATTGTAGCTGTCCCCTCCCCCCAGGTCTCTGAGATTGCAACCACTGATCCAAGAGCCAGTTTGATGCAGACAGTTGATGTAAAGAGGCATCTGAAGGGGGCAATCCATGTAAAGGGGAACTCTGATGGGGATAACTGATCATATGTATGGGGGAACTCTGATGGGGACACCTGATATAAGGGAGAACTCAGATAGGAGACTCTGATGTAAAGGGGGTACTCTGATAGGGACCCTGATGTAATGGGGCACTCTGATAGGGACCCTGATATAAGGGGGTACTCTGATGGGGACTCTAGTGTAAAGGGGGCACTCTGATAGGATTGCTGATGGAAGGGGCCACTATGATAGGGACCCTGCTGTAAGGGGGCACACTCTGATGGGGACCCTGATATAAGAGTGTACTCTGATGGGGTCCCTAATGTAAAGGGGACACTCTGATAGGGACCCTGATGTAAAGGGGGCACACTGATGGGGACCCTGATGTAATGGGGGCACTCTGATGGAGACCCTGATGTAAAGGGGGCACTCTGATAGGGACCCTGATGTAAGGGGGCACTCTGATAGGGACCCTGATGTAAGGGGGCACTCTGATAGGTACCCTGATGTAAGGGGGCATTCTGATGTGGATCCTGATGTAAAGGGGCACTCTGATGGGGACCCTGATGTAAAGGGGGCACTCTGATAGGGACCCTGATGTAAGGGGGTACTCTGATGGGGACTTTGATGTAAAGGGGGCACTCTGATAGGGACCCTGATGTAAGGGGGTACTCTGATAGGGACCCTGATGTAAGGGGGTACTCTGATATGGACCCTGATGTAAGGGGACAGTCTGATATGGACCCTGATGTAAGGGGGCACTATGATAGGTACCCTGATGTAAGGGGGCACTCTGATAGGGACCCTGATGTAAGGGGGTACTCTGATAGGGACCCTGATGTAAGTGGGCACTCTGATAGGGACCCTGATGTAAGGGGGTACTCTGATAGGGACCCTGATGTAAGGGGACACTGTGATAGAGACCCTGATGTAAGGGGGCACTCTGATAGGGACCCTGATGTAAGGTGGCACTCTGATAGGGACCCTGATATAAGGGGGCACTCTGATAGGGACCCTGATGTAAGGGGACAGTCTGATACGGACCCTCATGTAAGGGGGTACTCTGATAGGGACCCTGATGTAAGGGGGTACTCTGGTAGGTACCCTGATCTAAGGGGGCACTCTGATAGGGACCCTGATGTAAGGGGGCACTCTGATAGGGACCCTGATGTAAGGGGGTAAGCTGATAGGAATCCAATGTAAAGGGGGACCCTGACAAGGACTCCTGATTGAAAGGATGACATCTGATATAAGGGGGCAGGTTCTGTGTCAGCCTCATACACACTACTACAGTGTGAAAGATTTTCAGTGACTCACACACAGTGGTGACATTATGCCCCCTGACTTTTTTTTTTACTGCACCCCCAAACCAGATAGGCTGGATCCGGCCCTGTGCACCGGGGCTTTACCCCGTCCAAGCGTCAGGTCCTGGTGTCACAATATGTATTCTAAACACAGAAGGACTCCATAACTATTGAGAGTCATGACTCTGGATATGAAGTCACACAACTTACTTGAAGTACTCCTCACTCCCGCTGACGAATGACTTGTTCCCGTGGCTGGTGTAGTTGACCATCGTCAGGTTGGGGTAGGCCGTCATGCAGAACGTACTGTTCTTGATCTGGATCCTCGGGTGATCCCCAATGATGCAGGAATCTGGAGGAAGATAGTTGCCCCCGACATAAAAAGAGTCAAAAGAATTCCAAAACAGGACTTTAACTATGGCGCTCAAGATATGTTAGAAAACAATATGTGCAAAAAACAAACAAACAAACAAATGTATTAATAAATTCGTTAAAATGGAATGTAATCCAAGCGGTTTGTGTTACGGCGCTGCGTTACTTTAACTGACAATTGCACGGTCATGCAACGCTGCACCAAAATGACATTTACATCTTTTTTTCCCCACAAATTGAGCTTTCTTTCGGTGGTATTTAATCACCTGTGCGTTTTTTATTTTTCGTGCTATAAAAAAGAAGACAATTTTGAGAAAAAAAAACATATTTTGGACTTTTTGCTATAAAACATGTCCAGTAAAAAAATTTAAAAATCTAATTTTGTTATAGATTTCAGCCAAAATGTATTCTGCTCCGTGTCTTTGCTAAAAAAAAATCCCAATACGTGTAAATTAATTGGTTTACGTGACAGTTAGAGCATTTACAAATGGCGGTATAGATTCTGGGATTTTAAAAAAAATTTTTATACTAATAATGGCGGCGATCAGCGACTTATGACGGGACTGCGGTGGACATTTTGACACTGGGGGGGGGAACTGATTTGGGGTCACTGGCATCCCCAGTGACTCCAATACAGTGATCAGTGCAAAAAAAAAAAAACACTGACACTGTACTAATGGCAATGTGGAGGAAGGGGTTAACTCTTTTAAGGCAATCAAAGGGTTAACTGTGTGAGGGGAGTGTTTTACTAGTGGGCAGGGGAGTGTGTACTTCACTGGAACACACTGATCCCGAGAGCTAAACTCCGCTCTCAGGAACAGTGAGTTAGGAACTGACAGGGAGCAGAGCTGCATTGAAAACAATGCAGCTGTGCTCTGTGTCACTGTTTGCCAGCAATTGCCGGGACCCAGCGGGTAATGACCGGCCGGGACCCGGTGATTGACACCGGCGTCCGCGATCCGCAGCGTGGGTAGGGCAGTCGTGCATGCCCCTACCTGTTTTGCAAAATTACGTTTTAAAACGTGATTTTGCGCAGCGGTGCCGCCCTGTCGCCATTTTTTTACAGTGGCTGGTCGGCACATGGTTAAAACACCCATAAATTAATAAAATGTGACTAGTTTAATGACAATATTTCATAGGTTGATGCGTTTCACGGAATTTATCCACTTCCTCGGGGGGGGGGAAGCAGGTGGCTCTGGGAAAGGGGTTATTTGTGTTAAATGTTTTCCTGTTATTTCCTTAAATTGGTTGTAAACCTCAGACATGAAATCTGAACAAAGCACACGTTTCTATAGTGTTTACTTGCCTCTCTCCAATGCACTAAGTGTCATTTCTCTCTTCTGTCTAGTTCATCTGCTATCAGCGTGAATCACTGCTGACACCAAGAGCTAAAAAGGTGACAAGGGAGGGACCTCCAACTGACTGACAGCCTCGGCTCTATCCCTGTGTGCTGTGTGAAGGGGGAGTGTGTCTCTTCCCTCCAATCAGCTCTCAGAACTCTAGCACAGAATGTAACTGCAGCTCCCCGCCCCCTGCTTTGTGAGTCTGGGAAAAATCCTTTACGTCTCTGAGTTTTACAAGGATGTACAAGACAATTGCTGCAAATAAACAAGTACAACTTATGCAGGAGGTTTGGTTTCATCTTTGTATATCACCTGAGGCCAATCGCTTCACTGGGTAAATGGAAGGGTTTACAACCGCTTTCAGTATATGTTTCTGTTGGTGTATCACAATGTGTCAGGGGACTAACCGAAGAAAGACTGGCACTGTCGCCCATACCCAACATGGCTGCAGGTTGTGCGCTCCATGGTGCACACGAGTGTCAAATCGTCGAGTACGCATCCCCACCAGAGTTTCCCCTAACATCAGAGTCTGCCTTAGCAGTCCCCCCTACATTAGGATCCCAATCAATGTCCTTCTTTACATCAGGGACCCCATTAGAGTGTCCCCTTACATTAGGGACCCATTAGAATTCCCCCTTACATCACGGTGCCCATTATTGTCCTCTCTTACATCAGGGTCCCGGTCAGAACCCCCTTACATCAGGCTTTCCATCAGAATACCCCTCACATCAGGGTCCCTATCAATGTCCTCCTTACATCAGGGATCCCATCAGAGTCCATCCTCACATCAAGGACCCTATTAGAGTCTTCCATACATTTATGTCCCCATGAATGTCCTCACTTCCATCAGAGAGCCCATTAGAGTTGCCCGTTACATCATGGTGCCCATCATTGTCCTCTCTTACATCATGGTCCCCATCAGAACTCCCTTACTTCAGGCTTTTCATTAGAATACCTCTCATAACAGGGTCCCCATCAATGCCTTCCTTACATCAGGGATCCCATCAGAGTCCCCCCTCACATCAGGGACGCTATCAGAGTCTTCTATACATTAAGGTCCCCATAAATGTCCTCCCTTCCATCAGGAAGCCCATTAGAGTTCCCCCTTCCATCAGGGTCCCCGTCATTGTCTTCTTACATCAGGGTGCCCATCATTGTCCTTTCTTAAATCAGGGTCCCCATCAGAACCCCCTTACATCAGGGTCCCCATCAGAACCCCCTTACATCAGGGTCCCCATCAGAACTCCCTTACATCAGGCTTTCCATCAGAATATCCCTCACATCAGGGTCCCCATCAATGTCCTCCTTAAATCAGGGATCCCACTAGAGTCCCCCTTCACATCAGGGACCCTATCAGAGTTTTCCATACATTAATGTCCCCATGAATGTCCTCCCTTCCATCAGAGACCCCATTAGAGTTCCCCCTTCCATCAGGGTGCCCATCATTGTCCTCTCTTACATCAGGGTGCCCATCATTGTCCTCTCTTACATCAGGGTCCCCATCAGAACCCCCTTACATCAGGGTCCCCATCAGAACCCCCTTACATCAGGGTCCCCATCAGAACTCCCTTACATCAGGCTTTCCATCAGAATATCCCTCACATCAGGGTCCCCATCAATGTCCTCCTTAAATCAGGGATCCCCTTAGAGTCCCCCTTCACATCAGGGACCCTATCAGAGTTTTCCATACATTAATGTCCCCATGAATGTCCTCCCTTCCATCAGAGACCCCATTAGAGTTCCCCCTTCCATCAGGGTGCCCATCATTGTCCTATCTTACATCAGGGTGCCCATCATTGTCCTCTCTTACATCAGGGTCCCCATCAGAACCCCCTTACATCAGGATTTCCATCAGAATACCCCTCACATCAGGGTCCTCACCAATGTCCTCCTTACATCAGTCCTCACATGAGGGACCCTATCAGAGTCTTCCATACATTAAGGTCCACATGAAGGTACTCCCTTCCATCAGGGACCCCATTAGAGTTCCCCCTTCCATCAGGGTCCCCATCATTGTCTTCTTACATCAGAGTGCCCATCATTGTCCTCTCTTACATCAGGGTCCCCATCAGAACCCCCTTGCATCAGGCTTTCCATCAGAATACCCCTCACATCAGGGTCCCCACCAATGTCCTCCTTACATCAGGGATCCCATCAGAGTCCCTCCTCACATCAAGGACCCTATCAGAGTCTTCCCAACATTAAGGTCCCCACGAATCTCCTCCCTTCCATCAGAGACTCCATTAGAGTTTCCCCTTACATCAGGTGCTCATCATTGTCTTCTTACATCAGGGTGCCCATCATTGTCCTCTCTTACATCAGGGCCCCCATCAGAACCCCCTTACATCAGGGTCCCCATCAACGTCCTCCCTTACTTCAGAAGCATAGACCATAGATAGTCTCTGCTATCCTTCATCCTCATTCAGTGAGGATACACCCCTGACCAGGGGCGGACTGACCATTTGGAAACTCGGGCACTGCCCGAGGGGCCGGGGTCAGTAGGGGGCCCCATGAGATGCCCCTGGTACCTTTTTCATAGGCTTTTTTGAGTTTGGGCAAGGACACAGGGGCCCCATGATCCCCTATTGCCCAGGGGCCCCATGAGTTGTCAGTCCGCCCCTGACCCTAGCTGTAGGCTGGATGAAATCCTCTAAAGGGTGGAATGTAGTTTGGAGACGCCTGCTCTAGATCCTTGCTTCAACAACTATCCCTCCACTGCATTTTATTCCACCCATGCCTGGAAACCACACAAAAGAGCAAATATTGGTGTATCCAGCCTCAGTAAGATGGCCGAATCCAGTTTTTTTTTAAAAATATCGACCATTACACTTATCTGCCTTTCTTTTCAAATCAAATAATTGACACCCAACTTAGAATTCATTAGCTTTCGAATAAAATGCAAATAAATGTATTATCTAGATAATGCTTTCATCAGTAACGCGTTTCCGTCTTTAAAGCTGTTTTGCTGTAATGAAGACCTTATAAGAGATCCTTTACAGAAAATGAGCGATGATGACGCCCCGGGACATTGTCTGTGCTGCACTGCACCATGCGGTTTTCCAGATTGGCTGCCATTACACCTTCTCTCCACAGGAAGGCGCTTTTGTTCCACTACAGGAATACTGCTCATTATAGAGATTCCAAGCACAAAGAAAAAGTACACCGCAACAGTTTTTGCTGAGAAATATTTAAAGTCTTTATGACTGAGAATATACACGGCTCAAAAAAATGAAAGGAAGACTTTGAAAGCCCAACAGATCTCAATGGGGACAAATCTCCTACTGGATCTATATCGTGATAGGGACGGGGTGATGAGTGAGGAATGTAAGGACGCCCCATCGTTCGATGGAAATGAAAATGATCGACCTACAGAGGACTGAATTCAAAGACACCCCGAAAATCAAAGTGAAAAAATGATGCAGCAGGCGAGTCCATGTTGGTGAAATGTCATTGCAGCAACTCAGAATGGTCCTCGGTAGTTTGTATGGCCCCCATGTGCTTGTATGCATGCCTGACAATGTCGGGGGAGGGTCCTAAGGAGACCACGGATGGTGTCCTGGGGGATTTCCTCCCAGATCTGGACCAGGGCATCACTGAGCTCCTGGACAGTCTGAGGTGCAACCTGGCGGCAGGATGGACCAAAACATGACATCCCAGAGAGGTTCTATTGGATTTAGGTCAGACGAGTGTAGGGGCCATTCAATGGTATCAATTCCTTCATCCTCCAGGAACTGCCTGCATACTCTCACCACATGAGGCCGGGCATTGTCGGGCACCAGGAGGAACCCAGGACCCACTGCACCAGGAGGAACCCAGGACCCACTGCACCAGGAGGAACTCAGGATCCACTGCACCATGAGGAACCAAGGACCCACTGCACCAGGAGGAACCTGGGACCCACTGCACCAGGAGGAACCTGGGACCCACTGCACCAGGAGGAACCTGGGACCCACTGCACCAGGAAGAACCCAGGACCCACTGCACCAGGAGGAACCCAGGACCCACTGCACCAGGAGGAACCCAGGACCCACTGCACCAGGAGGAACCCAGGACCCACTGCACCAGGAGGAACCTGGGACCCACTGCACCAGGAAGAACCCAGGACCCACTGCACCAGGAGGAACCCAGGACCCACTGCACCAGTGTAGGGCCTGACAATGGGTCCAAGGGTCATGCTGAACCATGTTACAGGCAGCAGAACATTCTCCACGACTTCTCCATACCCTTTCACGTCTGTCACATGTGCTCAGGGGGGACCTGCTCTCATCTGTGAAAAGCACAGGGTGCCAGTGGTGGATCTGCCAATTCTGGCATTCAATGGCCAATGCCAATCCAGCTCTATGGTGCCAGGCAGTAAGCACAGGGCCCACTAGAGGATTTTGGGCCCTCAGGCCACCCTCATGAAGTCTGTTCCTGATTTTGTTGGTCAGAGACATTCACACCAGTGGCCCACTAGAGGTCATTTTGTAGAGCTCTGGCAGTGCTCACCCTGTTCCTCCTTGCACAAAGGAGCAGATACTGGTCCTCCACCTGTAAAACCATTCCTGTTTTGGGGATAGTCTCATTGTTGCCATCTAGTGCACCTGTTGTTAACTCCATTACCACCAAAGCAGCTGAAACTGATTAAAAACCCCCTCTGCTACTTAACTGACCAGTTCAATATCCCAGAAGTTTTCTTGACTTGATGCTAGACTCGGATTAAAAAGCCTCCATTTAATATTTTGGAGCAGTGTATAAAATGACGGTGGAATAGTAGGGATCTGTAGCTCTGCACACACAGGTGACTTCTTGTCCTTTACTAACACTATAAAACAATGAATGGCATGTTAACCTTTCTTCAGCCTAAACTGGTAGCCAAGGAGGAAAAATATTCTTCATAACGAATGTATACCGATATTTCCATTTCTGTAGGGGTAAGGGAAGTGTGGATTCTTTGAGGGCCTATTTACACTGTTGCGTTTTAATGAATGTATTGCATGTTGAATTCATGTGTGCAACTTCCTCATAAGAAAACTAGTAGATGTTTGTATCTCAGCGCTGCAGTTCAGTGCCTTTTGAAAAATACTAGATACCATTTGTCTAATCCAAAAGAACAAAAAAAATAGAATAGAGAATGTAGAATTAGATGGAGATAGAATGGAGAATGGAGGGTTGGAAGGAGATGGAATGGAGAATGAAGATTTGGATGGAAATGAAATGGAGAATGGAAGCTTGGATAGAGATGGAATGAAGAAAGCAGACTTAGATGGAGAAGGAATGGTGAATGGATGCTTGGATGGAGATGAAACAGATAATGGAGGCTTGGAAGGATATGGACTGAAGAATGAAGATCTAGATGGAAATGAAATGGAGAATGGAAGCTTTGATGGAGATGGAATGAAGAATACAGCCTTAGATGGAGATGGAATGGAGAATGGAGGGTTGGAAGGAGATGGAATGGAGAATGGAGGGTTGGAAGGAGATTGACTGGAAAATGAAGATTTGGATGGAAATGGAATGAAGAATGAAAGTTTGAACGGAGATGGAATGAAGAATGCAGACTTAGATGGAGAAGGAATGGTGAATGGAGGCTTGGATGGAGATGGAATGGAGAATGGAGGCTTGGATGGAGATGGAACAGATAATGGAGGCTTTGAAGGATATGGAATGGAGAATGAAGATTTGGATGGAAATGAAATGGAGAATGGAAGCTTGGATGGAGATGGAATGAAGAATACAGCCTTAGATGGAGATGGAATGGAGAATGGAGGGTTGGAAGGAGATGGAATGGAGAATGGAGGGTTGAAAGGAGATGGAATGGAGAATGGAGGGTTGGAAGGAGATTGACTGGAGAAGGAAGATTTGGATGGAAATGAAATGAAGAATGAAAGCTTTAATGGAGATGGAATGAAGAATGCAGACTTAGTTGTCCGTTTATGACACAGAGAATAGCTGCGATTCAACGGATCTCAGCTATTCTCTGGTCATTCACAGTTTATGACACTCAGGAGATCATGTCAGCCCTTCGCTGGAGATCTGTGTTCTCTCTCCAGATTCTCCAGCCCAGAGCTGGAGAATCAGAGGGACCGCAAAGTAAGCAGAGATAATTTACCTCTGCTTAGTAAACTGATCTTTTACTGTAATCTCGCGAGATTATAGTAAAATCAGCCGTTTTCCAGAGTTTGTAGACCGTTCTCCAGCATTTGGAGATCGTTCTCCCTTCGTTCGGAAAACTGCTTCATAAACTGCATTCACAGGAGAACTGTGTTCTCTGAGAATGCCGGAGAACTGAGCAGCGATCTATTACCGCTGGTTCATAAATGGACACCATAGATGGAGACGTAATGGTGAATGGGGGCTTGGATGGAGATGGAAGAGATAATGGAGGCTTGGAAGGATATGGACTGGAGAATGAAGATTTGGATGGAAAAGAAATGAGAATGGAAGCTTGGATGGAGATGGAATGAAGAATACAGCCTTAGATTGAGATGGAATGGAGAATGGAGGGTTGGAAGGAGAAGGAATGGAGAATGGAGGGTTGAAAGGAGATTGACTGGAGAATGAAGATTTGGATGGAAATGAAAATGGAGAATGAAAGCTTGGATGGAGATGGAATGAAGAATGCAGACTTAGATGGAGAAGGAATGGTGAATGGAGGCTTGGATGGAGATGGAACAGATAATGGAGTCTTTGAAGGATATGGAATGGAGAATGAAGATTTGGATGGAGATGGAATGAAGAATGCAGACTTAGATGGAGAAGGAATGGTGAATGGAGGCTTGGATGGAGATGGAATGGAGAATGGAGGCTTGGATGGAGATGGAACAGATAATGGAGGCGTGGAAGGATATGGACTGGAGAATGAAGATTTGGATGGAAATCAAATGGAGAATGGAAGCTTGGATGGAGATGGAATGAAGAATGCAGACTTAGATGGAGAAGGAAGGGATAATGGAGGGTTGGAAGGAGATGGAATGGAGAATGGAGGGTTGGAAGGAGATTGACTGGAGAATGAAGATTTGGATGGAAATGAAATGAAGAATGAAAGCTTGATTGGAGATGGAATGAAGAATGCAGACTTAGATGGAGAAGTAATGGTGAATGGGGGCTTGGATGGAGATGGAACAGATAATGGAGGCTTTGAAGGATATGGACTGGAGAATGAAGATTTGGATGGAAAAGAAATGGAGAATGGAAGCTTGGATGGAGATGGAATGAAGAATACAGCCTTAGATGGAGATGGAATGGAGAATGGAGGGTTGGAAGGAGATGGAATGGAGAATGGAGGGTTGAAAGGAGATTGACTGGAGAATGAAGATTTCGATGGAAATGAAATGGAGAATGAAAGCTTGAATGGAAATGGAATGAAGAATGCAGACTTAGATGAAGAAGGAATGGTGAATGGAGGCTTGGATGGAGATGGAGCAGATAATGGAGGCTTGGAAGGATATGGACTGGAGAATGAAGATTTGGATGGAAATGAAATGGAGAATGAAAGCTTGGATGAAGAAGGAATGGTGAATGGAGGCTTGGATGGAGATGGAGCAGATAATGGAGGCTTGGAAGGATATGGACTGGAGAATGAAGATTTGGATGGAAATGAAATGGAGAATGAAAGCTTGGATGGAGATGGAATGAAGAATACAGCCTTAGATGGAGTGGAATGGAGAATGGAGGGTTTGGAAGGAGATGGAATGAAGAATGGAGGGTTGGAAGGAGATTGACTGGAGAATAAAGATTTGGATGGAAGTGAAAATGGAGAATGAAAGTTTGGATGGAGATGGAATGAAGAATGTAGACTTAGATGGAGAAGGAATGGTGAATGGAGGCTTGGATGGAGATGGAACAGATAATGGAGGCTTGGAAGGATATGGAATGGAGAATGAAGATTTGGATGGAAATGAAATGGAGAATGAAAGCTTGGATGGAGATGGAATGGAGAATGGAGGGTTGGAAGGAGATTGACTAGAGAATGGGGATCTGGATGGTAATAAAAATGAAGAATGGAAGCTTGGATGGAGATGGAATGAAGAATACAGCCTTAGATGGAGATGAAATGGTGAATGGAGGCATGGATGGAGATGGAACATATAATGGAGGCTTGGAAGGATAGGAGACAGAATATAGAATGGAGACTTAGATGGAGATAGAATGGAGAACTGAGACTTGGATGGTGATAGAATGGAGAACTGAGACTTGGATGGTGATAGAATGGAGGACGGAGACATTAGTGGAGACAGAATGCAGAATGTAGACATGGATGGAGATGGGAATGAGAAGGGATTGTATCCTTCCATTTCTCTGCTCTGGCTTAATTCACACAAATGTCACCTGTACTCGTTGAGAGTGACACCAGACCCAGGCCAGACTCCCAACCTACCCAACATCAGCCTGTCCTTATCCTTGCAGTCCGGCGTTTGTTCCAGGGGTTGGTACAAGAAGCCCAGGGCAGCACAGAGACCAAGGAGGCGAAGAGATAGAAGAGGGTGTAACACATAATGATGTTGTAATAAATGGCGATCAGTACGGAGATGATGATGAGCATCGCGATTCCACAGCCTGCGGAACAAACACAGAGATCGCATTAACACGGTTCAAACATCAGCAAACAAAAGGCAAAATATCATCCATAAACCTTTACCGCCTCCATAATAAAGATTGGACATTCAAAACTGCACAAAAAAAAAGATCACAAAAAACAAAACGAGATTCTTAATTTGTTTTACTCCTCAACTCAAGTGTTACCGCACCGGGTGACACCAACCCTAGGGACACCCCGGGGTGGTGGTGTTGGTCGGTGTCTGTGGGGGTGCATGATTTTTGTGTTGCCTAGGGCAGCACAAAAACTTAAATACACCGCTGGGGAGGACATTTGTTTTGGAAGGGGGAATTTTTTGGGGGGGCAGCAGAGGGTTCTAGGAGGGGAAATGTGGGGGTGATGATATGCTAAGAGTGGTGAATTAGGGGGATCTGTGTTGGGGGGGGGGGGATGTTTGAAGAAGATATTTGTGTTAGGAGGGGGGGGGATTTGAGGGAATTTGTTGGTAGGGGGGATATGCAGTGGGGGGGAGATGTGTAAGGGGGGGGGGATTTTAGGAGTAAAGGATTTGTGCTGGGAGGGTTGATTTTTTTTTTGGGGGGGGGCATTTGAGCTGGGGGGGATTGGGGAGGGGAGAGGGGATTTTGGCAGGAGGGGCAGATTTGTACTGGGAGGAGGGGAAATTTATGTTAATGGGTAAGCATGCAGATTAGTGCTCTTTTTTTTGGGGGGGGGGGGGCATTTGAGTCTGGGCGGATGGGGGAGGGGAGAGGGGATTTCGGCAGGGGGGGGCAGATTTGCATTGGGAGGAGGGAAAATTTATGTTTAGTGGGATGAGCAAAATGCAAATTAGTGTTCTTAATTTTTTGTGGGGGGGGGGGGCATTTGAGCTGCAGGGATTTGGGGAGCAGAGAGGTGATTTCACTGGGGGGGGTGGGGGGCGGGGGGGGCGGATTTGCACTGGGAGGAGGGAAAATTTTATGTTTAGTGGCTGAGAGCATGCAAATTGGTGCTCTTTTTTTTGGGGGGGGGACATTTGAGGCTGGGGGGATTGGGGAGCAGAGAGGTGATTTCATTAAGGGGGTGGATTTGCACTGGGAGGAGGGAAATGTATGTTTAGTGGTCTGAGCATGCAGATTGGTGCTCTTTTTTTTGGGGGGGGGGGACATTTGAGCTGGGGGATTGGGGAGCAGAGAGGTGATTTCAGTGAGGGGGGTGGATTTGCACTGGGAGGAGGGAAATGTATGTTTAGTGGATGAGCATGCAGATTGGTGCTCTTTTTTTTGGGGGGGGGACGGGACATTTGAGGGGGGGGTGGAACATTTGGGGGGGGATTGGGGAGCAGAGAGGTGAGAGGTGATTTCAGTGGGGGGGTGGATTTGCACTGGGAAGAGGGAAATGTATGTTTAGTGGATGAGCATGCAGATTAGTGCTCTTTTTTTTTTTTTGGGGTGTGGTGGGGCACTTTTTGCTGATACATCTTGGGAAGGGGGGGGTGCAGTTTGGCATGTTTGCCTTGAGCTCTAGATGATCTTGTCCCAGCACTGCTGTCCATCCAGTCCTGAGATTCATACAGCTCTGCCACACAGAACATCCCTTTCTCGTAGGGAAGGAAACTTTTCTATGCTGCAGTTCAGTAACGTGACACAGATGTAAATCCCACGCACTACTTTACAAATCGGTGCGGCTCTGACCACGCTGGAATCGCGCCGATGCCACCGCGCTGTCATTGCGGACAATAGGGTGCGACTTGCCATGCGAATTGCAAGGGGTACGGCATGCCAAGCGGGTCCCGGTGTGACCGGGGACTAAATTACATAGATCCCTATATAGATGAGATCAAACGACCCCCCCATAGCAAAAAATGGTTCCCCACTCCCCACCCAAAAAGTATTCTACCCCAAAAAAGATATAGATCATGGCTAATCTAGCCCCCAAATACTAAAGATCCCAATTAATCCACACCCCCAATGACACAGAGTTCATGGCTAATCTAGCCCCCAAATACTAAAGTTCTCAATTTATCCACCCCCCCTCCCAAAGACACAGATAGTATGGCTAATTTAGCCCCCAAATGCTATAGATCCTAATTATTCTAGATCCCAAAAGACAGAGATCATAGCTAGTGTAGCTGCCAAATATCCCAATTAATCCACCCCCCCCCCCCCAAAGACACGGAGATCATGACTACTCTAACACCAAAATACTAAAGATCCCAGTCAACCTAGCCCCCAAAATGACAGAGATCATAGCTAATCTAGCCCCCAAATACTAAAGATCCCAATTAATCTAGCCTCCTCCCCCCTTCCCACCCAAGAAACAGTGATCATGACTAATCTAGCCCCCAAATACTAAAGATCCCAATTAACCCAGACCCCAAATGACACAGAGATCCTGACTAATCTAGTTGCCAAAGACCAAAGATCCCAATTATCTCCAGCCCCCCTCCCCAAAGAAACAGTGATCATGACTAATCTAGCCCCCAAAATACTAGAGATCCCAGTTAATCTAGACCCCCAAAAAACACAGAGATCATGGCTAATCTAACTGCCAAATACCAAAGATCCCAATTAACCCAAACCCCTCCTCCCCCCAAAGACCCAGAGACCATGGCTAATCTAGCCCCAACATACTATAGATCCTAATTAATTCAGCCTCCAAAA